GTTGACCAAGATGTTTCCAATCACTTAATCCAATACTTGCTAATTGGCTTTTTGACCGGCCTTCTTTGAAAAGTTTGCAACAAAAACAAAAGACTTTATCTAGCTCTTTTGAATAAACTAACCACYTTCTATCATGACAATCACCATTRCGTAACTTACGAACATAAAATTCATCAGAGAAGTGTCTACCTATATTATCTCTAGGAAAATTGATGTTAGTTTCCCTAATAGGCCCCTTCTCAACAAGCAAATCTTTCATTTTAGAATTTAGCATATCCCAAATTCTTGGATCAAATATATTCAAACGAATATCACTAGMAGCATCATCACAAGCACAAACAATTTCATCACTAACATTTTCATTTGCATCACAAACATTTGTATCACACACATTTTCATTTTTATCATTAGCATTTTCATTTGCATCACACGCATTTTCATTTTTATCATTAGCATTTTCATTTGCATCACACCCATTTTCATTTTTATCATTAGCATTTTCAGAAGCATTTGGTTGTCTAACAATAAATTTATTTAAATATCCTTGTAAAGATTGAGCAATTTCTTCTTGCCTTTTATTTCTTTTCCTATTTTGAGCACCCGATGGTTGTGATCGAGGCAACATAACTTAAGTAGTTAAATTGCTAAACAAATATACGAGATAAAGAATAGAAAGCTAACACCTGGATTTGGTATTTCGTGGTTTGTGTTGTGAAATTGTCAAGAAAGTGGAACTATTAAGTAACCTGTACAAATTGATAAATAAGAAAACATTAAACATAAGCATCCATAAAACAGTGAAACAAAACCAATCAGTCAGTGAGGCTCAAATAAAATTCTAAATTCTAATTTTATGGTTGTCATTTGTAAAACAGTAAAACACAAAAACAGCCCAACAAACCATAATCAAAGAATCACAGCTTCTAAGCACTAAATCATTATTAGGTTTCCGGTTTCCCAATCAAACAATGAAACAACTTTAAAAATTTCAAAAATAAAGTAAATAAATCAATAACCTAGGTTAAAACTAACCTCAATGTCAATGGCTCAATACTCACAATCAAGTAATCAAAACAAGACTACAAGAGAGAGCAGATGGCCATCGATATCGAGAGAGGCAGAGAGAGAGCGTCGAGCGACAACGGAGCGAGGGCGTCGAGCGACAGCGAGGGCGTCGAGCGACAGCGAGAGCGAGGGCGTCGAGCGACAGCGTCGAGCAAGAGCCGAGAACGAGAGCGACCGAGTTGCGAAAGAAATTTGATTTCTGTTGCGAGAGCGAGAGGCGAGAGCGAGCGATTGAGCCTTGAGGATGAATCGATGTTCGATGATGGATATCAGGACCAGGGCCGGTAAGTGAAACATAGAATGGGCTTTTATTTTCTTAAAAGGCTAACGGTAATAATTTTTTTTGGCCCAAATACAAACTGAACCTAGTATAGACATTGGGCTTAAAATTTTTTGATGCCCTCCAGATTTTTGATGCCCTGGGCCGTCGCCCCTTTGGCCTAGGCCCAGGGCCGGCCCTGGCAACAATAGTTTAAAAATGTACCCTTTTCCTCCATCTTTGGTAGATATTTAGTCCAAGATTTTGCATAGGTTAACAAACATCCATGAATATTATACCATTTATAACTATGAAGAATTAAGATTTCAATTATCTATAATGAATCAAGAAATACAGCCCTATAAATATGGATTCTTTCACATGACACTCTCCTTGAATCAAGAAATGCAGCCTATAACCATTTGATTCGTTTCTTGCAATTATCAGTTTGTTTCTGGTGGGGTGATCATATTGTGGATTTTGAAAATGGGATGAAGCAAATATTTGAATAAGCTTTATTGGTTTTGTTTGGTTTTATATTAATCTCTATGGGATTTCAACCTTTTGTTATTGCAGATATGTCAATTGGCAGCGGGTGATATGGGACAAGACAATGACATTGGACCTATGGAACATGTCGGAGAACAAGGCAATGACACTGTTGACGCATTGTAGGTTTGGTATTGTCAATGGTTACGGGTTTGGTTGCATTGGCTAGCAATGATAAGACAATGACGTTTGGTTTGATGTAGTTTGTGTTACTGGTTGTCTTGTTTATGTTGTTCAACTTTTATCTAATCTGGATAACGGATGTTGTTTTTTTGCCTCTAATGAAAGTTGGTTGGTTTGGCCAAAGTCCATTGGCGGTATCTTTTGGGAACTAGAAACCCACAATAATCCATTTATGTCAATTTGGAAATGCTTAAAGTGAGGTTTGCTTTAATCTTGTTTTATGTTATTCATTTACATCCCTATTCTAAGCTTTAAAAATTATATCATTCTCTTTCCATTCCTTACCTTAATTTTAGAATCGTTTATAATAATTTTACTTCCTGCAATATTATGCCAGTAACATTTTAGCTACTTGACTTGTTTGCTACTTGTGAAATCATCATCGTGATTTAATGATTTGTTGATTGAGTTTTGTTTGTGGTTGCTTTGTGACAGTTGGACTATTATAGTATCAGGTGGAGTTTGTACTGAGTGTTGAATATACATGGACTATTATAGCACCTGATAACAATACTAAAAGTAAATTATGATCCTAATTTTAAGTTCTAATTGAGGCATTTAATGGCCGTTCCAAATGCTCAAAGTCTATAACCATTTATAATTATTGTTTTTGTTATATGAGTCTTCTATTTGCATTATTTCCAAAAGAAAACTTCTCATGTGCCGGTTAGCTATTTTGTTTCAATGGCAGTGGTCGTTTTCCGTCGAATCGCATGGGTATACAACTAGAAGTTAATAAATCAAATAAAACAATTAATACTTTGTATGAGAATTAAGATTGAGTGACAAAACAAACTATTTAAAAGTCAAACTAAAAAATAGACACAAGTTGGTTTGGTCTTGCTATGACAATCATGTGTGCATCCGTTGTAATCGTCAATCGATATTCTCGCTTACATTTATGTAAAACTTATACCTTGCGGCATAGTACGGGTACACAATTAGTTATAATATTAATAAAATTTCTTTTATTTTAAATAATAAAAAGAAATTCAATGTTCAAATTGTTAAACATCTTTCTTGTATTGTGGAGGTCGTGGTTTCGAACCCTTCGTCAAACATTTCTTCTTTTTACCTATTTTATTATTATTTTTTAATACAGAAAGTGATGAAGAAAACCAACAGTAGCAAAGTAGCCATTGCTGCGTGTTCCAGAAAATTTGAAGCTCAAAATTGTCCATTTCTTACTCTTTTTTCTTCTTTCTTTTTCATCAAAAGTCTTGTTTAGGGATGGTGATTTGCCCCGATCTGGTGGGGAACCCGGTTCACCCAACCCGAACGAGGATGGGATTCCCGCTAAAACGGGTCCCAGGGATCCCCGGTAGACTCAAAGCAGGGACGGAATCCCGGTAGAATCAAATTAAATGATACTATTTATGGGGTTTGATCGGGGATTGCTAGAGATTTGACAGGGAATGGGATGATAATCCCCGTACCCACCGGGATTACAAAACCCGCCCCATCCCCACCCCGTTGACATGCCTAGTCTAGGTAACATTTTTATCAACATTTTTTTTTCATTTAAAGTTTAGGTTTATAAAACTAAAACCGAACAATTTTGTACAAAGATTTGAGCCATAAAAACACAAGTCTGAAACAAAAGGCTACTAGGGTTCGATAGACCTCTTAAAAACAAGACCATATGCATAAAAATCATAAGATTTGGTTAAAAATCTCAACTTGAATCGGCGAAAAACCAAGAAATTCAACTCTGAACTTCAAACTTCGTTTTCTCTTTCAAAACTCAATGGTTTCACTAATTTCTTGAACCTCAATGTTGCTAGAAACGTTCTCTATATTTATCTGCAAGATATTTTTCATATTCGTTGAGTAGAAGAGCCAATAACCAGCTTTTAAACCCGCTATCGTTCTGACGCATTCAACAAGACTAAAACAAAGCAAGTCTGTCAACAAGTCCTCCAAATACACCCATATATCCATTTATCATTTTGATTAAATAGCACATTTGGCCCCTCTTCACTCATCATTTACATTTTGGCCCTAATAAAGTAAAACCTATTTTATTTTATTTTCCTATTCCTTTTTCTTTTCATAATTTATTTATTTACC